TTCTGTTATTATTATACTTTATTACATGCTAACATTTGCTTTTTTTAGGTTTAATTCGGTATTATTTCATTGCTTTGGATATAACTTTGTGGTTATTTAGGAGGTACTTCCTGATCCGAATGGAATTCGAGTCCAGCCTTCTCTAGATGCTATGAAAGAAAAATATGAAGCCAGAAAAACTGATGAACCGAAGGTCAGGAAGCCGAGAGTACCAAAAGAGCCAAAGAAAGTGAAGAATGAGAATGATGAAGAGGTTGTATCTTTAATTGAGTTACCATATTTACTTATAAAGACTCGTTTGAAAATATGTGTATATATTTTTGATATATTTAGGATAACAAGAAGAAAGAGAAGCCCAAACGTCAGCGAAAAGAAAATGGTAAATTTGATTGATTTTTAACTAGTGAAGAATGATAGTTTGCGATGTTATCCTAGCGCGAGTATCATGTACTATAAAACACTTGGAAGTTTCATTGGTCCAAAAAAATACTAAACAGGGAAGACACATTTGCCCAGTGTTTTAATTCTCAGTGAGGAGAAGGGTTTCTTGCTTGAAAAAGTATAAATAGCATGGGGAAGTGGTATTTAGATAATACAACCAACTTAATGGTTATTTCAGTTCGTAGTAAATTTTCAGGTCGAGATGGCAGTTCAATGAATACGAAAACAAAAAAGAAAAAACGAAATGAGTGGGAATCCAGTAGCAGTGAAGATGATTTCGATGAATCTGATTACGTTATAGATGACGATGATGATGATGTAATTGATATTAAGAAAACAACTGGAGATAGAAAACGAAGAGTTAGTTAGCTACTTTTTTAAAGAGAAAAAAATTTTCATTTTTCAAGATTGTTTTTGAATTTTATGTCGTATTTTAGGGGGAGCAATCAGCAAGTAAATCTGATTTGAATAGTACTGGTACAAGTGTTGAAGACAGTTTGGTGCAGTCAAGCGGTGAGAAAAAAAAATTCCATGAGAAGATGAATGATCTTTTCGTAAATGAGGTGAACTTTGATTTCTTTTAAGGATTTTTGTGTTATTATTATACTTTATTACATGCTAACATTTGCTAACATTTATAGAAACCATCTGGAAGTGATACAAAATCAAAAGATATTGCTGAAGTCAAAAAAACCAAATCTAAGAAAGAGACAAAACTAAGAATCACGGCAGAGACAAGTAAAAAGGTAAGGATGTTTTTTTTTGGGAACGAGTAAAAAAATGAAATCAGTCAGTGATTTGATGATACTTAGGTATCATTATTTTCCAAAAAGCGTTGTCTTCGTATCCTTTAAACTGTACAACTACATTGTTGTTTTGTAATGAATGCGCAGATAACTGAGTAGTTTTCAACGCATACATCATTGATACTATAGATTGAAAATTGTTATTTTGACTTACCTAGTGAAAATTTTTCGAATTTTTCAGAATTAAACTTTGGAATTTTGCAGATAATTTTGATTGAAGTCAAATTTCTCGAGTAGCTTCATTTTTTCTAATGTGATCAATTTAAAAATTTTAGAATTTTTTAAAGTACGCTGAAAGTTATACTATTATTTCGTTTAGCAAATTATTTTATGATATATTAGGGATTGGGATCCAGAAAACGAAAAGTAGAATCTGATAATAATAATAATGGTGATGATGACGATGTCCCTTCTAAACCAGCTCCTTCATATTCTCGTGAAAGAAGTCGACAGGTTAAGGCAGTTAAATATACCTTCGATGATGATAATGATGATGACAGTGATGATATTACTGGATTATCCGATAGAACACCATCACCAACCCGGAAGAAACGGCGAAAGAAGATCGAAAGCGATGAGGAATTTGAGTTAAGCAGTTAAAAATCTCTTTATCGAACTAGCCTATGGTCATTAATAAATAAGCATTCACTGGTTAATCTTGATTTTTCTCCATTTTTGTGTAATTGAAGTATAATGACTGATTATTTTGCAATTATTCTAACAGTTTAAGTGGTTTATCTACTTCGTACCTCGTTTATATCCAGTTTTTTTTTGATTTCAGCATTATAATCATACTCGAGTTTATTGTATACAACTTTATTACCAATCTAATCATTGTAAAAAATAAAAAAATAATGTCAATCCTTCTAAATCATTGTATAAAGGGAACTTAATTTGATTTGGTATCGCAGTTATGCAGTAGTTTCATGTGCCGAATAATTCAAAACGAAATAATATTTCTGTGTATACTATTTTTGATCTCTGGATTTATCTAGTATTTGGTTTTATTATTAAAGCATTTATGTTTTCTTTAATGGCAAGAATTTTTTTTTCATTTTTTACTTTAATTGATCTTGTTTTTCATTAAAATGTCCTATTTCATACGCTTTGAATGCATAAATAATAGCTGTGAAATGAAGCTTTTTCAAGTTAAATCATTTTGTCCGTTCTTTTTTTTTAATTTTTAACACCTATGAAAATACAACGTTTGTAGAAGAAAGGAAAGTTACGATTCAATGGTAACGATATGGGAAAGTTGTCAACAGATTTTTTTTTTGAATTTAATTAGAATAAATTGAAATAACATCTTATCAACAAAGTATTGTTTGAGGGGAGTATCAATCAAAAGCTTACTCTGTCTCAAATGCAAAATAGCTGTATGCAAATATGCTCATAAAAATGCATGCTTATTTGCATAATTCAAAATTGACCATTCTTTTTTGTGAGAAGGAACGTGAACAAATATGTATTTGTACATTTGCAACATTACCAATGCTATCTTTATCAGTCAAAAAAAAAAAAAATGCACAGCCAACCCAAATGATGAACTGCATAGCAGAGTGCGTGCAAAATTGCATATCGATAATGCCAGCAGATAAATCTTGCATTTCAAACTGTTAATAGAACTGCTTGAAAATATGTCAACAACAGCAGCAACTAACTTGCAATCGGAACTGCTCCAATGTTTGCAACACCTCATGCACATATTGAAAGTTTGTATCATAGTTGTGCACGCCATTCTTGTTGAACACGGTATGTATAAAGCATGCTTTGTAATTATATATGTGTTAATTCTAATTTTACATTAAAAGCATACAAACCACTTCAGGTTACCAACCTGAGATGGTACCATTTCCGGTTAGTTATCAATATATATGTCAAAACATATGCATGAGATCATACCGTAGTTGGAATTGAACCAAATTATTTTGCTATAGTAACTGTCAACAGGCTTGTAGGTAAGCATGCTTACAAATTGCAGTTTTATTGCATCTGACAACTGCAACATCGATACCTTCAACAATTGCCGCTACAATTTCATATCATCTCTTTGTCTATCGGAATGCATTAATGACCGATCAGCATCGAGTTCGGTACATCCCGAACTTTATAATGACAAGTGAGAGGAACGGAATGTCCGCATCTATGTTTGAAGTGAGTAAATAATTAATGATAATCATTCTAGAAGCCTTGTGATTTATTCTCTTCTTCATTCCATTTAGGTTGAATTCTTGCTGGACTTCAAAAAAAATCTCATCAATTTTAATTCCCTTTCTTTACATCATATTTAATCTGATGAGGACAAACTTAAACAGAGTCCAAATATTTTAATCGAAAAAATTTTAATTTAGAATTTTTTGCTAAAAATTGCCGAAATTATTAGGAGAAAACTCGTTTTTTTTTTTTAAATTAAATCAGAAATTCACTGCAATATTTATTTTTCAGTAATTGCTTAATTCGTATGTATTAATTGCAATCATTCATTAAAAGCATATAATTCAAATTATGAGACTTAAGTTACCTTTTACATTGCCTTTTACAAAATTAGAACGTTTACTCATGATGGAATAATTTTTTGTTTCAATAAGCAATTGTTTACTCGATGCAACTCTGAATGTTATCAATGTAAGCATTCTTAATTATCATTTCATATTTACTTTTGTTTTGCTGTATAAAAATATTTGCTAATTTAGTTTTAATTTAATTTTATTTTTGTTCAAAAATTTATTCATTTAAATTGAATTTTAGCTTGTGTATTAGCTTGCTTGAACAATGGTCAAATACTTTTGTATCAGTTTGCTTTAACGATAGTTAAGCAAGCTAATACATAGCTTGTATATTAGCTTACTTGAACGATGGTCAAGAAAAGCAATGTGTTTCATTATGTTTAAATTATAATGATGCATTGAATATTTCATTGGACAATACCTGCAAACAAATTTTATCAATCCTATCTATCAAATGCTTTATGCAAAAGTATTAACACATTTGTTGATATGGTATTTTTTTTAAAAGCATTTCTTTCTTTTTTTCTTTTTTTTAAATTTGCATTTTTAAAATTTTTCAAGTATTGAATAGAAGAACATGATGTTAAGAGTGGTGATGGAAAATTTTTGCATTCAAATTCATTCCTTGAATTATTATAAATGAACAAGAAATAAACGTAACCGAATTTTTTTTTTTTTTTTTTTTTTGCGATAGTGTGTCATTATCATAAAAGATAGTGCTATGTCAGTTAAATTGTACAACATTTAATGTAGCTTGTTATGAATAAATAAAGAGATTTGCTAAAATGAAAATTTCAAGAAAGAAGATTTATCAAATTATCAAATACTGATTTGATGTTATCGTTGCAAATCAATGTAAAATATCACGAAATAGTTTTGTGTAATTTGCTACTAAATTATCTTTGCTTCATTTCTAATGTATTGTAAGTTGTTAATTAAATATGTTTGAAGTGATTGGAGAATGCAGCAAACAAAGAATTAAATTAGGGGACATATGAAAAGGTCAACTTTCCGCCTGTCTACTATAATGTAGAAATGTAATGTAGAAATAAACATTCAAGAGGAACATTATTAGTACGATAAATTTCATTCAATAATGCATTATATTAATGTTTCTTTGAAGTAACATGAAGAAAAAAAAAAAAA